CTTTGAAGTTAGGTCATGTTCCAGATGATTCATAACGTACATCACGCACCGATTTGCTAACATTAATTAGACTACCTATTCTGCTGTTTGGTTTTCCGGCCTCTTACTATCTTGTGTCATAATTAAGGGAATCGTCCAGGTGCCCGTTGGAGGATTGACTGAGAGAACTCGTCCGAAACTCCGTGTCCAGAGAAGAAGCTGTGGCCTAGAGAAGAAGGGAGCGCGGGGGAACCGCAGCTCCCAAGGCCTAACTGAAGGTGACCACGTAAAGTTAGACGCTCTGAGAAGCCGCGCAGTTGCCCTGGCGGAGACCGCAGCGGACGCGGCGCCGACGCACTGGCCTGCGTTTGTTTGGGGGACGCTGTTTCGTTGTTCACTTGTTCGCTTGTTCGCCGCTTGTTCGCTTGTTCACCGCTTGTTCGCTTATTCGCCGCTTGCTCGCTTGTTCGCCGCTTGCTCGCCGCTTGCTCGCTGGTTCGCCGCTTGCTCGCTTGCTCACCTGAGCTAGATCAAACGAGAACAAAAGAGAAAAACTAAGGGAAACTGAGAAAAGATGGTAAAAAATTACTTAACTAATTCACATACAATATAATTAAAGAGGGAGTGATATTCACATTCCGTATTAGACTTGGTAGATGTTGGCAATTTCACATTTCTGCGCTTATTTATTACTTAAACATATTAACCATGGGCTATATCTTCAAGTAAGACAGTAGCAAATAATACTCTTTGGAGAGCCAATTTATAATTGATTACTTTAAATAAATACCATTCAACTGTGCGTAATGTCACATTAATATTTATGAAAATGGCCTCACATTTTCTGACACCATTTTAAGAGTATAAAACCTAACAGATGTAAAGTGACCAATCTATCATCACAGGCGGGATTAGACTAGACACTTCATGAAGCAATTGGGAGTTTCCTAGCTCATAATGATAGTTGTATACGAGAATAAGAAATTAGTACTGTGACCGGAAGGTCCTAGGTTTGAGTCCCGACGGTGTCAGGATTTTCGACCCTAGCTAAATAGCTAGGTCGAATTCAGTCTCTGTCTGGAAGAGAATTTCAGCAGCCGTCTGGTCTGATCAGTAGTTTTCCGTGGTTTCTCCGAACACCACCAGGCGAATGCCGGAGCAGTAACCTTACAAAATAGCCACGGATCGCGCGCGATCTTTCCTACCTCTTCCTTGTCATATCCTCACCCCTTATACACACTTACGCTACAATATACTACACTACCACACATGCTGGGAGACCGGTCGAGAGCTTAGAGCTTGTCCCGGTTGGGGCAGTGCCCCGCTAGGGAGAGATGCATGGTTGGAAAAAAAACCGCTAGCCGACAATGAATCAGCGCCGGATCTGGTAATACAGCGGGGAAAGGCCACCGCCACCTGAGCCAAAACATGCACTACACTTGCATTAAATGTAAGATGAGAATGCGCAATTTGAACCGTAGTTTGTAAATTGAAAGACCAATTGCGAAAAAGACTGTCTATTACTATTCAGTGAAACAAATTAGACTTATATTTTTGATTTGGATAACTGTATTAGAATTGTTTCTAGAGCTGATAATGTAATTTGCTTTGCTATGATGTAATCGCAAGTTTACCGTGATGTTAATACAAATTTGTAATATTGAATCTTTTTTGTTTGATGATAATCATAATAAATTATTTTTTAATTAACTATTCCATTGATGAAGACGATTCTAGCCAAATAAAAGCACAAAAATCTTGTTCTTAAAAAATCATGATAGTTTTCTGCTCTAATTTCCGACAAGACTAAATTGTATATTTCTAATTTCAAGTCAATGAACACCATTAATTCCTAATCATTTTCGACATCACATAAAAAGATTAGGCCATTTGCGTTCTGTTTAACGAGACTCATAATAATGCCATGATTGTCCGTAAAATATCGTAAAATAGGTTTGCTCGTTGGTATCACTTACTCCGTTCCATAGTGTGAAAAATGGTCACAAATATAAATGCTGCCAAACATAACGTTTTCTGGAATTGCCTGTATTTCATTATTCTATTAATATCGTTGTGTGAGACTGCTCTCAATTTCCTCAATTTTGCTATCATTTGGAGATTATAACATTCCTGGTGGAAAGTCAATTACTAAATTGAAAATTTTTATTAGTGAGAATTACGTAATCCTTTTTTTGAAAGGTCACTGCTTTAAAATATTGTTTATGAGTAACAACGAGGATAAAGTAAAAAAAATTAAAAAATGCCGCAGTGCACAGAAGAACACAAACGGTGAAATATTGTCCTGTAGCTAGAAATACGGTAGATTTATCATTTAATTAAGTGGGCAAATCATTTCACAGCATGGATCATTGCATTAGAGGCATTCAATATACGCGGTGCGTCGACCTCAATCCGGCTTCTTCCGTCCCCACAAAGTTGCCTCCTTCTCACTACCAGCATTTTCGCAGCTCTCAAGGGCTTACGTGTGACTCGTAAGTGCAGAATGCCCGCGGGAGCAGGCGTTGTGCAGGCCTGCATTACAGTGACATCAGTAAATGCCCTGAGCCACCTTTGCCGGTGGCTGTCGCAGGACCTGACGGAGGTTGCGTCCAACGGGAGCGCGTTACAAACTCTGTGGACCGGCGCATGACCGCGCGTAACCAGGCGAAGGTCGGCGAGGACATCTTAGCGCCGCATCGCTCTATCAACAGTCTGCGTTTTGTAGTTTGCACCTGAGGTATTCGTGGATTCGAAGTTGTGTTAATTCCATGCTCTACCAGTCCATCGTCAAGTTTCTGATTATAAACCCTAAACTAGCCTTAATTTTTCAACTGTTATTTATTAATTCGACAAATTAACTGAACTTTTGGACTGATAGCAAGAACTAAGAGTTTTATTTTGAAGGATTTTCGTGCTACGTATTTGTGGTGGCATGAAGCAGTAATATCGCAGTACCGCATTTCATGAAAGCACTCCTAATTATTTTCTGCATGTATTAATTTATTTGTTCACCCAAGTTTACTGCATTTAAATTCATAACTTTAAATTATTCAAATGGAAATTAATCAGTTGTAGATGGAATCTGTAATGCTCCAAAAACTGTTTTACCCTTTTAGATCCAAATATCGCTACACTCTCTTATTATTTTGCTATTTGAAAGGAGTACTTATTAATTAATTGATTTAATTGATGTAAATGTACTGTACCTACTTTTTATACACTCATTACCTGGATTATGTATTGCCTTAAAATAATATTTCTGCATTTCTTGGTGGGTGTCCTTTCCCACCAAGTAAGCGAAAGCTCCGTGCAGTCTGAGCAAACCAACGATGTTATTGATTAGTGATTCCAATCTCAACCTTATCACGTGATGGTAACAGCACCTCGCCCAGGGAGTGCGATGAGGACGACAGACCGGGAAGGGGGTTGATCCGTTTTAGCAATGATGCCGATTACACGGGTGAGGCAATTAGAGAAAATAACGTCTCAGCATTTTCAGAAAGATCACGAATTCTAATCTTGCCGAGAACACAGATGCCAATTGCTTTTCATGTGCGATGCGGCACGGTCTCGACTGAAGTTGACTACATGTCCACGAGCCAACGTGTCCGTGTTTTGATTTTGTGTGGTCAGAGAAACAATCATTAGCCCCCATGGCCCCCATACGGTTACTCCAATGCTAAACTACACAGTTGTCTTTGTATGACCAAGTAGTTGCAATGTGACCTTAAATAAAATTTAGAAAAAATAGCATCTTCAGACCTAATATACATGACATGTACTGTGTAAGGATTTTAATTGCTGTTGTATTGCAATATAAATTGTTTAACATTAAGTGAATTTATGTTCTTTGATTTATCTGTATTTGAACATGCCACCCATCAGGGTATATAAACAGCAATAAAAGCGTGCAATGCAAAAAGAA